GATGACGTACGTGTTTGTTAAATCAGGGCTTTTATCAGATTTAAAAAAGAAGCTGTAACTATGGGTAAATTTTTCATCTGGAGTTAACACAACATAACGTACTGGGACAACAAAGGACTTATTGGTCCATCTCGACTGTTACATCCTCTAAGCTAAACTAAAACAATAAATAAACAAATAAATAAAAATCTTAAAGCCAGCCCTTATCATTCATTTAGTTATCAAGCTTTCTCTTAAACTCACTTATATTCACTGCCTCCACAACATCCGAAGGCCAACCACTCTGTTAGAAAAATAAAACTGTCTTAGATGAAGATGACTCCTACCTTGCCAAAATGTGTATGTGTGTCCCTTAGTTCTACTGTTCTCACTGTTCAGTGTGTAAAACAATGATGCATCAACATTATCAATCCACTTTACAATCTTAAACACCTCAATCAGATCCCTGATAACTCTTCTTTTTTCACGAAAAAACAATTTCAGATATTTCTGCCTCTCCTCATATGACAACCCCTCCGTCCCAGGCACCATTCTAGTAACCCTTCTCTGAACCCTTTCCAACAATTCAATGTCTTTCATAAGGTAAGGAGCAAAAGAATGAACACAATATTCCGAATGTGGCCTAACCAGTGACCTACACAATGAAATTATAACCTCTTTAGACTTGTATTCAATATTTCTGTAGATACAACCTAAAATCATATTTGCCCTATAACAAGCAACAGCACACTGCTTGGATGGCTTTAGAGACTGATCAACCATTACACCAAGATCCCTTTCTTTCATAACACAGTTAAGGTTACTCCCATGCAAATTATACTTATAATTTAAATTTTGATAACCCACATGCATTATCTTGCATTTATTACAATTAAAACCCATTTGCCATTTATTTGCCCCACTCACTAAATTATCTTTTAAATCCTTTTGTAATTCAGCAGCATCCTCTTCAGAACTAGCAACACCCAAGACTTTCATATCATCAGCAAATTTAAGTAATTTATTGACTATCCCTTCATCTATGTCATTTATGTAAATCAAAAAGAGCAAATGTCCTAAGACCGAGTTCTGAGGTACCCCACTTGTGACATTAATCCAGTTTGGCTGAACTCCATGTATAATAACCTTCTGCTTTCTTCCATCCAGCCACTCTTCTATCCAACTTGCTAACTTATCCTCCACACCTATAGAGATAATTGTTTTACAAGCCTTTTATGTGGCACCTTGTTAAATGCTTTCTGAAAATTCAGATACACCAAATCCATACCCTTACCCTCATCTACATAAGCAGTAACCTTTTCAAAGACTGTCAAAGATTTGTAAGGGAAGAATTTGTTCTTAGTGAAACCATGCTGATTATCCAATAAAATTCTAAACTTTGTTTTAAATGACTTTGCAAAGCATCTTTTAGCAGACTTCCCAAAACTTTTCCCACAACTGATGTAAGACTAATTAATGGGTCTATAATTACTGGGACAATTTTTATCACCTTTCTTGATGAGAGGAGTTACATTAGCTAACTTCCAATCCTCTGGTACCTGCCCACTATTCAAGGACTGAGAAAAAATAGTAGAAAGTGGCTCACATATCCAATCGTTCACCTTCTTCAAACCCATTAGGGAAATATTATCTTGCCCAGGAGCCTTATCATTCTTTAAGATTCCAATTTTTTCTTAACCAGCTCAGAATTAATGCAGTCATCTTGTTTCCATCTGTGAACTGTTCAAGATGAGGAATACTGCTTAAATCTTCATTAGTAAAAACTGAAGAAAATACAAAAAATTAATAACCCAGTCACCTCATAACCATCAGATACGAGCCTTCCTTTATCATCCCTCAAGGGTCCTACCCCCATCCTAACATCTTATTTACCCTTAATGTATCTAAAGAAATCGTAACTGTTAATTTCATATTTTCAGCCAACTTTTTCTGATATATTCTTTTTGATGTCCTAATTTCCTATAATCTTCTAAATCTCCTGTCAATTTAAATTTCTTAAATTCATGATGCTTTTCTTTAATTTTATCTCTTATACTCCTTGTGAGCCAACCTGGTTTTTTACTTGTAGATACCCTTTTCTTTCTATAAGAAATATGTTTACCTTGGATATTTAGAAATTTAATTAAAAAAAATTTACACATCTGATCAGTGTCTCCAAATAACTTAGCTGCCCAATTCACAACAGATACTTCTTGTCACATCCCTTGAAGATTTGATTTTTTGAAATTTGTAATCAAAATATCATTATTCATTATCTCCATATGAAGCAAAACATTGAACCTAATAGAGCAATGATCACTTGCACCTAGATGTTCCCCAATTTCCACCCTCTTGTTCATTTCTATATTTGAAGTTAACAATAAATCTAAAACAGCATTGTTTCTTGTAGATTACCAGACTAATTGGTAAAGAAAGCCATCTTGAACAGTTTTCAAAAACCTTTCTCCCTCACGGTTTGACTCTAGAATTTCCCAATCTATATGCCTGAAATTAAAATCACCCATAATTAAGACTTCATTAATGGCTTAAATCTTAATCTCATTTCATCAGTATCATTTGATGGTCTGTAACAAATTTCCACTAAAAGCCTTTTCCCATTATATCCACTAATAGAAACCCAAATGGATTCAATCTCCTTGCTATTATCTTTGATATCCTCAACTTCAACAGGATGTATCTCACATTTTACATATAAAGCCACTCCCCCCTCTTTACTACTCTATCCCTATTAAATAGCCTTTAACCCTGTATTTCAAAGAAATTTCTGTTATAAAAATCATCTATGTTTAACCATGTTTCAGATATTCCCATTATACCAAAATCCTCCATTCCTACCAGTGCTCTAAAGTCATCTATTTTATTTCGTATACTTCTAGCATTACAATAGTAACAATTAAGCCTACCCTTATAACTACTTCTATACTCATTTCCTATGCTAAACTTTTCTTTGCCTCTTATTCTTTTTGCAATTAGTTTTTGCTGGCCTTCACCACTGTCTAGTCCTAGTTTAAAACTTTCCTTACAGCTGAGTTAATAGCCTTAGCAAACAAGCCAGCCCCTATCTTATTTAAATGTAAACCATCCATTTCAAAAGACTTCCTTCTTCCACTGAACTGATCCCACAAGTCCAATCTACTCGTCCGTACATACTAACCGAAGCCTAGCATATAGCCCTAGGGATCTACTT